ATGGGAGTTATCTGCCTCCTGTAACTGGTTGTCTGTTTCCTTCCCCAGAGTAGGGAAGTTTTCAGCTATTAATTTCTTCAAATAAATTTTGTGTCCCCCCTTTTTTTCTGTGCTTCATCTTGGACTTTTATAATAGGGATGTTATTATGTGCGATGGAGTCTCTGAATTCCCTAAATCTGTTCCCATGTTTCATAATTCTTCCTTCTCTCTTTTGGTTAGCTTAATTGCTTTCCATTACTTTGTCTTCTAGGTCTATAATTCCCTCCTCTGCTTCTTCCAGCCTGCTCTCCCTTGCATCATGGGTATTTCTAATCCTGTTTATTGCACTTTTCATCTCTGATTGATTCTTTTTTAAGTCTTTTATCTTTATAGTAATGGTCTCACTGATCTCTTGTATACTTTTTGCAAGCTCAGTGTGTATCTTTATGATTGGTGCTGTTAATTCTCCATTGGGCATGTTACTTATATCTGTTTCCCTTATATCTTTCCCCATGGCCTCTTCTTGTTCCTTCATTTGGGATAAATTCCTCCATCTTTGCATTTTTTTTAAGTCTCTGCCTTATTCTTTGTATTAGAAAAGCCACTTATTTCTCCTGTTTCTGAAAATAATGGCCTTAGGGAGAGGTCATGTAGTGCTCAGGGACTGGTACTTCAAGGAGTGTCTCTGGTGTTTGCTGCATGCACTCTGCTATTGTGTCTTGGCTGCTTTATCCTTCAGGCCAGTTGTCTTCACAGACTTTTCTTGCCTACTGTGGGAAGTGTTTGGTCCTTGGCCTGAATGTGGTGAGTTTTAACTTGTTATGCTCTGGTGTGCTTATGAAATGAGACCTGTCACTATCTCCTCAGAAATGGGGCCATGCAGACCTCTCTGGTCGGAAATGTGTTGTGGGCAGCTGTTTGTGCTGGTCTTAGGGAGAAGTCTGCTGCACTCGGTTCAGGTAAGCATAACTGAGAAGGGCTGTCCCATTAGAGTGCAGGGGTGTGGGGCCTGGTGTATGCAAATTAGGCAGCCAGTGTCAGCACTGAACTGTTTCCAGCAGGTGGCTCTGTTTATGCTGAGGGGAATAGGAGGGAAATGGCACCAGCCAGCTCCCTTTTTCCCAGAGAGATGTCTCTGGGAAAGGTGCCACTCAGGGACACACTCAGAAGAGTGAATTGTCTTCATTTCATGTGCCTGAGGCACTCTTCAGATTGCTGTTTCCATACTGTCTCCCACTGGGTTATTATTTGCCTGCTTACTCTCTTGGAGCTGTGAAGTGCCTTCTGGGCTCTATCCCATCCAAGTTTGCTATTCTTTAAAACTACAAGTTTTAAGCTCTATTGATTGCAAGAACTCAGGAATTTCAGCCCCCCCCTCCCCCGCTTTACCAAGACAGTGGCTTTGGGAAGCACTCATTCTTGTGCATTCCCTTGTGATCTCCTCTGGTTGTGTTCATGGGACAAGGTGATCTTAGGGTCCTCCTACTCCATCGTCATCTTTTCCCCAACTTATTAGTGGTTTTTGATATATAGTTACCATTAGGTTTGTGTATAGCCTCTTCTGCATATAGTGGTCTATATTAAGTTGATTGTCATTTAAATTTGAACCCATTTTTCATTCCTCCCCTCCCCATGTTTTGGGTAAATGTTTTTATATTTTACATCCTTTTATTTTGTGAGTTTGTTGACCCATTTTTTACAAAAATATTCATTTTTATTGTTTTTGTGTTTCCTACCTTCAGACTGTCACTTTTGATCTTTTTTTTTCCCACTCAAAGAATCCCCTTTAATATTTATTGCAGGGTTGGTTTAGTGCTCAGGAACTTCTTTAGTATTTGTTTGCCTGAAAAACTATCTCTCCTTCTATTCTGAATGATAGCTTTGCTGGACAGAGTGTTCTTGGCTGCGTATTTTTTTCCATTCAGCAGTTTGAATATATCATGCCACTCCCTTCTGACTTGCAAAGTTTCTGTTAAAAAAATCTTCTGCCTTATAGGTTCCCCTTGTCACTTATTGTCTTCTTTTGTCTTGCTGCCTTAAAAATGTTTCTTTATAACTTATTTTTGCCAACTTAATTACTACATGTCTTGGTTTGGGTCTGCCTTTGTTGATTTTGATGGCAGTTCTCTGTGCTTCCCTGATCTGGATACCTGTTTCCTTCCCCAGATTAGTGAAATTTTCAGCTATTATTTCCTCAAATAAATTTTCTGTCCATTCTCTCTCTTTCTTATTTTTCTGGGACTCCTATTATATGAATGTTATTATGTCTGATGTAGTTACTGATTTCCCTAACTCTTATTTTGCATAATTCTTTTTTCTTTCTTCTGTTCATCTTGATTAGAGTAATGGTACTGTATATTCTAGTTCACTAATATGTTCCTTTCCTTTTTCCAGCTTGCTGTTAATTCCATCAAGTGTGTTTGTCATTTTGTGTATTGGCCCTTTTATCTCTGTTATGGTATTCCTCATTTCAATGTTAAGGGTCTCACTCATGTCTTCCACTCTTTTCTCAAACCCATTGGGTTTCCTTATGATCATTACTTTAGATGATCTTTCAGGCATGTTACTTATATTGGTTTTGCTTAGGTCTCTGGCTGTGTCCTCATCCTTTTCTTTCATTTGGAATAAATTTATCTTTCTTTTCATTTTGTCTAAGTCTCTTTGTCTGTTTCTGTGTGTTAAGAAAGTTATGCCACCTGTTCTTGAGGGTAATGGCTTTATGAAGAAGTCCTGTAGTGCCCTGTTCTGTGGTGGCTCCGGTTCCCCAAGTGCTCACACTTCCCAAAGTGTCTCCATTGTGTGCTGTTTGTGTTCTGCTGTTTTGTCCTGACGACTTTATCCTTCAGGCCAGTCATCTGTAGAGGCTATCTTGTCTACTGTGGTGTTATGGGAAGTGTTTGGTCCATGACCTAAATGTGGTGCTTTTTAACTAGTTGTGCTTTGGTCTGTTTGTGAAATGAGACCTTTTGCCACTGCTGCTGAAACTGAGTCTCTACAAAACTCCCAAGTTGGGAGACACAACTTGAGCAGAGTTTTGAGGCAGTCTTCTGGGGGAGGGCAGCCACTGTTCTGGGACTGAGGCAAGCTAGACTTGGAGTAGTGGTTCCACCAGAACATGGGGTGGGGAGACTTGGTACAAGCAGGTGAGGTAGAGAGTACAGACAATGTGCTGGTTTCCACAGGTTGCCCTGTGCTTATGCTAAAGGACAAGGGAGGGAAATGGCACCAGACAGTTCCTTTGTCCTAGAAGGGTCTCTCCATAAACACTGCCTGTCTTGGATATGCTCTGAGATGAGTAAATAACCTCCCCACTCTGTGCCCCTGGCACTTCTCTGTTAGAAGTTTCCATGCTGTATGTCCATTGTTGTGTGTGTGTGTGTGTGTGTGTGTGTGTGTGTGTTTCTTTATTTGCCTGCCTTCTCTCCAGAAGCCGCTATGTCCTCCAGGCTCTAACCCATCCAAGCCCACTGACCTTTAAAACTCTAGGCTTTAAGCCCTGCTCATTGTGAGAACTCATGAAATTCAGTCCCTCTTTCTTTCTAAGCAATTGATATGGGGATTTTTTTCCCCTGTGTGCTCCACTTTCTGTTAGTCTGACTCTTGCCCTTCTCCGTAACTGTGGCTCCCTCTCCACCACAGCGGCCACAATATGTTTCTCTCCCAAACTCTCTTTTCACTTCCTACCTTCTTCAATGTGGCATCTTCTCTATCATTAGTTGTGGAGTTTGTTCTGCCAGTCTTCAGGCTGATTTCTCGGGTATTTAGGATGATTTGGTAGTTATCAAGTTGCATTCATGGGACAAGGTGGGCCTAGGGTCCTCCTACTCTATCACCATCTTCCAACCACCAATCTCCCTGTGCCTATATAAAAATTTTTATTATAAGATACATCATGATTTTAAAAACATTCAAACAATACAGAAATATGGGGAAAAAAGGAAAAGTCACTTTTCTACTATTCTCATCCTGATTTTCTATATATCCACTCACTGTTAATCATTTCTCATGATTTACACTTAAGTGTATTGGTACTGCCTTTATTCTGAGTATATACATATGTGGTGTGTGATCCATACACCATAATGGGGGTCATACGGTGTTAATGTTTTTTATATTACTTTATAAAATATTTAAGTTTATTTATTTATTTGGAGAGAGACAGAGAGAGCAGGGGAGGGGAAAAGAGAAAGGTAGAGAGAGAATTCCAAGCAGTCTCTGTGCTGTCAGCACAGAATCTGTGCTGAACTCATGAACCTGGGGTCAAACTCACAAACTGTGAGATGATGATCTGAGCCAAAACCAAGAATCAGATACTTCACCTACTGAGCCACCTTGTTGCCCCTTTCATTTAGCTTTCTATATGGAGTATACATATACAATCCAGATGCAACATAAGGATACTAAGCATGGAGCTATTTCAAAAAGTTTGATGAGCTTCTTCCAACGCCATTCCATGCCCTTGAGTTTCTGACCTTACACAGAAGGCCTGTAGCCTTAGCTGAGGGCCTATTCTAGTGAATCACATTGTGTCTGTGTATATGGCTTTATTTTTGAGTATATATTAGGATATATTAGAAGAGAGGATATAGTTACTATAATGTGGTATGGTAGAAAGCGTCAGAGACCTGGGTTTGCATCCACTTTTTATTGTTCACTCTGATTAAAAAAAAAAAAAAAAAAAAAGATGTCTCAAACATCCCGTGAGGTATTTCTATCCCCCTTTAAAGCTGAAGTAACAGAGATTGAACCAGGGAGAAGTGACTTATTTAAAGTCACACATCTAATACATAGTAGAGCCAGAATTCAAGCAAAGGCCTGTTTCAGGCAGAACCTGTGTGGTTTCTACTCTACCATTTTTGGCTCTTCTTTAGTACATCTGTAAGGATAGAGAAAATTTCTTCAAAGTGATTGCCACAAATTTTGACCAAAGCCTAGATAAAAGATTAAGTACTCTGTTCTCTTTCCAGTATCCAAATATCTCTTCTCTGACTCCCTTTGTTTTGTCATATCCCCCTTTTAGGAGAGAAGCCTTATAAATGTACCTGGGATGGCTGTTCCTGGAAATTTGCTCGTTCAGATGAGCTCACCCGCCATTTTCGCAAGCACACAGGCATCAAGCCCTTCCAGTGCACAGACTGCAACCGTAGCTTCTCTCGCTCTGACCACCTATCCCTGCACCGCAGGCGCCATGACACAATGTGAGCAGCATAGACTACACCAGAAGAGCTGTGCTGGTCTTGTGTGTGTGTGTGTGTGTGTGTGTGTATGCATGCACACCGAGATCATAACCATCTTTTCCTCTTTGACTTCAGCTTGCCTCAGGGATGGGGTAGGCGCAGCTCACTGAGCCAGGTTGATGAGACTGTAGGAAAAAATAGATGATCTCCCATGGGGGCTCCTCATATTCTACTTTCACTTCTCCACTGTCCAGTCTCCAATTTTTTCAGCCTTGCATGGATTGAATTCCAGTGTGGCACCCATGGCTTCCCCCCATTCCTCCACCATACCCTTGCTCTGACATAAGACATTTCCCTACAAAAACAAAACAAGAAATCAAACTCAAGGCTGTGAACAAACATGCACTGCTTTTTATTCCAATTTGTCTCTTATTTTCTAGAATTCTTATCCTTTTTTTCTTTTTTTTTGGAATCAGCATTTAAGAGTGGTTGGTAGTGTCTTAAAATGACATTTTGTAAATTTCCTAAACATAAAAAGGCATAATAATTTAGTTGATTGTTAAGATTTACAGGGATTTGGGTCCTGAGTATAGGGCACATCCTCAGTGAATAAGATGAGTCCCTTGCCAAACTGAAAGATTTTGTAAATCCAATCCTATATGTTATTACAGTTTGGTTTTCAGAAAGTGCTGATGCTTCTTCACAAGTCTATCAGAAGGAATGAAATGATCTTCTCCTACTTGTCCTCTTTTTCTTCGTCCTTCTTCAGGATAAAGATTTGGCTGCACAGTTATCTTCTCTGTTAGGTTAAATTTGAAAAAGCTTTCAAAGCACACACTGACATGCCAGTAGGGAGAAAAGTGTTCCAGGAAAATATGTTGGGCAGCGACAGGAACAAACAAAACGAGTATCATTCTGAAAACAAATAGAGGGGGAATTTCATTTGGATAAGATTTCAGAAGCTCTGTAATCACAAACCTCATTCAAATGGCAGCCTGTTGAGGCAGTGTCTTGAGGGGCTGTTTATTCTTTTGTTTATGTAAAGCAACTGTTTTGAGCATATTGCATGGTGAGAAATCACACACTGGGGTTATTTTATACAGAAGTGAGGGGTTAGAAGAAAAAAAATGTGTTCATTCTGTGACATTATTAGCATGAATTCTTATATTTCAAATGGAATTTAAAAGGATTTTAGAGAAAACTGACACAAAAAACCATCTGATGTTCTGCAACTGCTATAAACCGCTAGCCACTTCTTTAGTCATTAAGGCAGGTTACATATTATACGCATCTGATTACCCAATTGGACTTTTAAGTAATAGTCTCTGGGACATCAAAACCTCTGTTCTAGGCTGTGGACTTCAGATCTACCTCCAAATGACATATTTTCTCTACCTGGGGGCAGGGAGGGCTTTGCATCACTTAGTTTTAAATTCAGCCTCTCTTCTAAAGGTTGTCTTCATATTGAACCCCTTTTCCGTGGCAGATATTCAATCAGTCCCTGTGTGAATACTTTAGTTTACTACTTCCAAAGACCATCCATTCCAACTAAATCAAGAAATTCTAGTACCAAGAATGGATCTTATTAACCACTTAGTACTATCTATCATTTATATTTTAAAGATGAAACAAATATGGGCTAAATTCTTTCCCCAGATTTTTTATTGAAGTGTTATAGATCTGTGCACCCATTCTCCCAGGGATCACATTCTAAAACCAAAATAAAGAAAAATTTTACATAATTGGTTGCAGTATTTCTCCAATTTTATATGCTATGCTTCAGAAAACTAGACCACTCACAGTATTATTTACAGTTGATTAAATACTAAGTAAAATGTGTTTGTGGTCATTGGTATATAACATTAGACACACAATTTTTCTATTCAAACACTGTCTATAATATTTCATATTTGATTTACCTCATTTTCACTTACAGTGTCTTTCCAGACTATAAACTGTCATAAATTCAAAGACTGTATTTTTCTCAAAATGACATATGAATTTTTAATATTATTGTTATTTTGATATAGGCTTTTCCCTGACTTTGGGTGTTCAAGTTACACACTGTAAACTAATTGATGAAGCATTAGGAGATATCTAGGGCCAGTCTGTTAAAGGGAAATTCTATGTAGCTATAAGACAGATGGTTAAAGGTGAATTACCATCACACATAAGTTTAAGCATTTAATTGGGTAGTTGATATGGCATTTCATAGTAAAGAGCTTAGCCATTTTCTCCAGAACTTTGATCCTGAGTCTCCTTTTCTAGAGTACACACATAAATGACTTGTGCCCTTGGACCTCAGGATCTTTTGCACTGAGCATATAATCTTATAAATAAAGGCTATCAATCATACTGTTGTACTAAGATGATCAAATTAAGTTTCTAAATACTGGTATCTCTGACATCCTTAAGTCTAACCCTTTACTCATTTTTTTTCCCCTTCAAAGTAATGTGGGACTTTGTTAATGCTTTATTGTTACAAAACATTTCAAACCCTATTCTCATTGCCCTGTCCCCTCCAAATAATGGTTAAAAAAATCCTTCCAATTATTTACATATATTGTAATAAATATGTCTAAATGCATTTAGAGTGTTTCATAGAGATCCAAATACAGTACACTACAGTACTACACCAAAACTACATATAATTTTGCTAAATAAACAGTGAGATGGAAAGGAACTATTTTAGCTGACATTTGGAGTTAATTGAATTTACTGTGCTCATGCCAGCAAAGCACCATTAAGTGGACATTTCCCATGACATGAAAAATAGCCTTGTTTGATAAGGTTGGATAATATTCTGGGATTCGTTGCCATGGAATTCTTCCATCTGTAGATGATTGGCAGTTGAACATAGGTATCAATAATTATGATTGGAGAATTCAGGGAAAACTATGAGGAATTGAACTGGTTAGGTAGGTTAGGTGGATTGAATTATGGTAACACAAAATGTTTCTGAGAGTAAGATCTTTTTTTTAAGAGTAAGATATTTTTAAATAAACTTTTTTAAATTTAACTTTTTAATATTTATTTTTGAGAGAGAACACGAGTGGGGGTGGGCAGATAGAGAGGGAGACACAGAATCTGAAGCTGGCTGCAGGCTCTGAGCTGTCCGCACAGAGTCCAACATGGGGCTCGAACTCACAAACTATGAGATCATAACCTGAGCCAAAGCCAGATGTTTAACCAACTGAGGCATGCAGGGACCCCCTTTTTACTTTAGAACTGTTTTTTAGATTTACAGAAAATTGTGAAGATAGTACAGAGAGTTTACCTATAAACAGTATCCAGTTTTCCCTTTTATTAATATCTTTTATGAATTCATTAGTAAGGTATATTTGTTACAGCTAATGAAGTAATATGATACATTATTATTACCTAAAGTTCAAACTTTATTCAGATTTTCTCAGTTTTTACCTAATATTCTTTTTTTAAGCATCCTATTCAGGATACCACATTACATTTAATAGTTATGCCTCCTTATGCTTCTCCTGGTTGTGACAATTTCTCAGACTTTCCTTGTTTCCTATGACATTGACAGTTTTGAGGAGTATGTCCCAAATTGTCTGATGTTTTCTTCATGATGAAACTGAGGTTATGGTTTGAAGAAGGAAGATCATAGAGGTGAACTACCATTTGTATCACATTATATTAACATGGCTTATACTCTGGATGTTAACCTTGATCATCTGGCTGAGATTGTGTTTGTTAGATTTCTCCTCTGTACCCTTCCTTTCCCTATCTCCACGCTGTACTTTCTGGAAGGAAGTCACTATGTGAAGCCCACACTTAAGCAGTGGTAAATTATGCACCACATCCTAGAGGGTCTCTAGATAAATTATTTTAATTCTTTGCATGAGAGATTTGTCTTTTCTTTCTCATTTATTTATTTATTAAATCATTTACTTGGAGCAGTAGGGGTTCATGGATATTTATTTTGTACCTTGAGTTATAATCCAATACAACTTTATTTTGTTTCTCAAATTGCTCCAGCTTTGCCCACTGGGCACTCTTGGGTTGACTTCCAAGTACTTTTGACATTTTTATTAGCACATTCTTATTTTCTGGTACTACAAAATGCTCCAGTCTAATCATATATATTTTTTGCCCCCAGTCTAATCATATATATATTTTTTTGCCCTCTCTTACAATCAACCATTTATTTAAAGTGTACTGGTCCCTTTTACTGGAGAATTATCTTAGAAACCAAGACCTGGATATTTGATATGCTTGTTGCTACTGGGCATTGTTGATTCTAGGTGATCTCAGCTGACAGAGCAGGAAATATGTGTGTGTACACTAACCCATGTATATACATATCTAGAAATACGTCTATATGTAATCATCCATATCCTTATTAAGCTGAATGTGAGTTTATACTGATGTCTGCAATTCATTACCACATGGTTCATTGTAAACCTTTACCTTTGTTTATATATAACCTCCCATTCCAACACTGAGAATCCTACTCCCACACTCTGTCATCTATTTACTTAATTGTTCAATCACAGTCTACACGTATAGTGGCATCTCAATTGTTAACCTGTACACCTGTGAGAAACAACTAGAGCACAGTGCTTAGGTATATAATAGTAATATATTTAGAACCCCAACAGCTCTTTGAAACAAAGTGATCTGCAAAATTCAGGAATTAGGGATTTCTGTGATCTGAGTTCCAGGAATATGGGGTCTATCTCTTCAAAAAAAAACTTTTCTCAAGGATCAAAACATTGGGAATTGACCTAACCTTGAATAAGTCAAGATAAATTATTGACTCTTCAGTATGTTAATACTTATATAGAGAGGTGGACACAGAATAAAGTAGGTGAGCCCAATTGAATTATTGAGCATTATTTTTCTCACTGGTAAATATGTCTCTCTGAAAATAGGGGTGCTACCCTAAATTATCTCTCTTCATATTTTCCTGTCCCTCACTTGGTAAAAGTTAGGCAAGTCACAACAACTCTCTGTGACTCAGTCAACCCATCTACAAAGTGGAGATCCAAAAACCTACCTCACAGA